GGCCACTTGCTAAACTATGATCTCAAAAGGACTGGTCTCGGATACTAGTACCGGCGAGCCGGCCCGACACCTCAAACGACCTAAGTTACGACCTTAGTCAGTATGACTATTGTATCGTCGGTGAGATCAAGTGACTCAGCATACACCAAGCCACAGCGATCCCACCGAGGACGTTGCTGGGCAATTGATGTTCGGTCTTAAACCCAGGAGGCGTGCCTAATGAGCCCCCGGTGGGGCTCACTCACTCATACTTGCACGCATTCATCTTCACTCATCTCTGCGACCGACAGGAGCAATCCGCCCCGAAGTCCGGGTTCTCGTCGGACAGTAACGCGATGTAATTGCGTTAAAACGCCGCCAGTTCATCCACGAGCCCCACAACACACGCGTAGTCAGAGTCCGTAACTGGGATGTGGTTAATCCCAGGTGCCGGAGCTCTGCCTCGCTCTGGGGACTCCAGACTCCTCGCCAAGAGATAGTAATGGCGGAAAAGCCGACGTTTTCAGGTAACACTCCTGTATGGCCTGCTACCCTCTCGCGAAGGCCAGGTTCTTGCTCGTATTTTTCCACCTTACGGGTGTGGGCTATTGTCAACGCCGTTTCGCTAGATACAACCTGCGCATCTACGATGACAGCCACGCCTTGCCTGGCTATCGTGAGGTCAGGCCTTCGTTGCCCGGCAGCGGTGGAATAGGATAGCTCCTCATCCACTTGCCATCCCTTCTCTCTGAGAAACCCAGCAACTCGACGACATAGGTCATTATATCGCAGGATTCTCCCGCCATGCGTCCAGAAGCAGCGCTGAACGCAGTGCGCCGGTGTCTCGATATCGGGACAGCCGGCGCGACGACGCACATCGCGCCCCGAACGCCCGCGGGAGACTCTCGCTCTACTAGGCAAACAGTTAGCGCGGACGTGGTGATAGTGCACATAATCCGCCCCTGGAATGCACGAGGACCCCTCGTACACCCAGTGCGTGCTCAAGCGACTAGCGCCGGACTCTCGGAGCCCTTTGCCGTCGCAAGAGCCGTGCAACCCCGCAGCACAACTGTTTCCGAGCTCAGCGGTGGTAGAAACTCTTACCCCCCCGTAGCGAAATTGATTTTCGCACCAGACCAACTGCCGAGCCACGAATGGTGTCTCAGCAGCGGCCCGGGCAGGGGGCAGGGTGCTCCTACACAACCGCTGCAGTCGCTGGAATTTCAATATAGGGATCACTTTCGATAGAATTGGCAATCCCAGCCCTCCCTCTCGTGTCTGCGCGTGGAAGTATCCAGCAGGGACATCATGGGGCATCCGTAACCAGGTACGCACTGCTGTGCGCACCTGCACGTCGAACCGCTTCAGCGCCTTCGCAGTAATGGGCCCCAACACCCAACGATGGTAAAATCGCGGGAGCAGGTGGTCACGGAGCATCTTGAGCCTCTGTTGAGGCTTCAGCGGTGCTCGTGACAACAAACCCAGTGCGGGGGCCAAAGCGGGCGGCGTGGGATTTACCCTAGCCCCTTCGTACAGTGCACCCAGGTAGGTCCAGGCGTCGGTCGGGGATTTCGGCCGAAGCGTAGTCTCCCCTAGTCGGAATGTTGGGTCTTTTACAACCGTCACCTTCTTCTCGCGCCCGGACGCTACCAAGGACATCACCCAGGTCTTTTTGGCGTTGATTTCTAGTCCACACCTCGAAAAGGCGTTCTGCAATCTTTGCAGATTGACCTGAAGGCCATTCGATGTTGAGGACAGGAGCATCACATCGTCAGCATAGGCTAGGGCGTTAACGCGCCCACTGCCCATCGAAAAGCCAACGTCCTCCGAGAGAGCACCCAGCGCTCTATCCATGACCAGATTGAACAGCTGGGGCGATAGAGGATCACCCTGTCTGACGCCGCGACCGATGCTGACAGCAGAACCATCGAGACCAGGAAGGTCTAAAATTGTCTCCGCACCCGAGTAGAGTACTGGATGAAGGCGGGTGGCATATGGCCTTTGGTTAAAAATGGCCTTGTGCGAGACCGTGTCGAATGCTTTCGACACGTCTACACAAGCCATGTGCAATGACCGGCACTTCCTTCGGGCTTCGTGCAATGCAGCGGACAGGACCGTGATGTTCTCACAGGCCCCATCCACCGCCCTGAAGCCACGTTGGCGCTCGTCGAAGATGTTTAACTTTGACAATCTACCCGCTAGGATGCGATGGAGCTGCCTCAGCGGGACCGATCCTATACTTAGGGGCCGGTAGTCGGAAGGACGAGGCCTATCCGACTTCCTAAGAAAGACCGTTCGCGTTCGCGACATACAGTCAGGTACCTCTCTTGCAAGGAGGAGCAGGTTGTATAGTAGTGCCCGCAACACGGTGGGAACAGAGTTCCACAACCGCGGCGACACCCCATCCAACCCTGGGGCGGAACCAGCTCTCACGGACTGCCTATCAACGTCCGAAGGCGTGATAGACATCCAAAGAGAAGCTTTACCGCACCCACCTTGTGGTGGTGGAGAGCCTGTGTCGGGGCCCTCCGCGTCCGCACTTGCACCGACGCCTTCGAGGTGGATGCCTCGGGCGAACGGCCCTCTGGTTCCTGGTTGCCTCTCTACTCTCGGACAACTCGGCATGCCCGTCATGTCTCCATCGGCGGTACTGGTTTCCCCGAAAAGGGGTCGCCAGTACTCGTCGAATTCAACAGCGGACGGGCGGTTAACGTCCGAGTCGCCCTCGAGTAGTATGTAGTCGAGGCAACAGCGCTTGTTCTTATTATAGAGTTTCTGCACGATGGCATACTTCTCTACGCGCTGGCTCTTCCTGCTCTCTGCAGACCTTTTCGGAGGACGACGCCATCCCTGTCTTTGTGGCCGAGGAGGACTTCTCCTGACCTTGTTAGGGAAAACGTCACTTAACCATCCTGAGATGGCTTCGGTGACATTACTCCCCTCCAAAGCCGACCGCGCGATGTTACGCAGTCTACTAGCCTGAAAGCTACCGATCCTCTCTGAGCGATCCACCAACTCTCTGATCGCGGATCGGAGCCTCTCAAGTTCGTCTTGAGGTATTTAGCTAGCGGAGGTATACTCAGCAGTGGCTTGACTAACGACTGCTGTTGGTCCGTCGGCTCCTATCATCACCGATTCGGACCTGCTTACAGCGCCGTCATCGGCCTCGATGTTGGAGGCCTGTTGGCAGAACTCTTGGACCATCGCGCGATAAGCCCCCTGTCGGCGCTTACCCTTGATGGCCTCAAGAGTCCTCTGGGGAAACTGGCTGTGAAGGTGTTGGTTCAACAACCTTACCCCAGCGAGAGAGGCCTTCGCCTCTTCCCTCGCCATTAGTCTCACCTCCTCCTCGTTCCACCTAGGCCGAAGCCTGTCGACTTGAATAGCGTCGTTGGCTTCGATGGGGTGCCTACGTCTAACGTACACCCCTAGCCCAATTTTCGTCTGGAAGTCCCTGCTGCAGTGCTCGCAGACGAACCGCGTCGATGACGCAGCGGCACCGCCACTACTCGGTGCCGCTCTCTGTCTGCCCCGCACATTCGCAGCAGGGTTGCTTCCGCCAGTCACAGTATTCACATTCGGCGCATTCAGATGCCGGGCCATCCGAGAACCCGGCGGCAATATATTATTATGTCTTTCCTCCATATTTTCTGAATGCAGGGGAGCACCCGGATTGACAGCCGGGGTCCCCTATATAGCCACACCCGCTTTCTGGCCTCACAACGTGCGTGGGGTGTGGCGCTTGGGCCGAAGCCCTTGAGGCGCTTCGCCGTAGCCGGTTTCGTACTCTGTGCCCTCCTGAGAGGACTACAGGCATTCCAGCGGGACCACAAGGAGGTACGAACTACGACAATTGAAACATGAGAGGCTAGGGCAACTTAATGCCGTGTAAGACGCATCATGCTTCCGTAACTATGATCATCCCCCGCGAGTCTCGGATACTAGTACCGGCAAGCCGGCCCGACACCTCAAACGACCCCAAGAGAGTCATAGTTACTCCCGCCGTTTACCCGCGCTTTTTTGAATTTCTTCACGTTGACATTCAGAGCACTGGGCAGAAATCACATTGCGTCAACACCCGTGGGGGCCATCGCAATGCTTTGTTTTAATTAGACAGTCGGATTCCCCTAGTCCGTGCCAGTTCTGAGCTGAGCGTTGAATGGCGGCCGAAGAGGACGACCGCCGACGGCAGGCCGCCAACGGAAGCCTCGCAGCAAGGAAGATCCGCGGGAGGCCAAGGCACGGGACCGAGCTCGGATCCCATGCGGAGACACCACAGGTTCACCTCGCCCAGGCCCGGCACGTCAGCCAGACCCGCTTCCCGACCAAGCCCGACACGCCCCGCTCCTCAGAGCCAATCCTTATCCCGAAGTTACGGATCCAATTTGCCGACTTCCCTTACCTACATTAATCTATCGACTAGAGGCTCTTAACCTTGGAGACCTGCTGCGGATATGGGTACGAACCGGTGCGACACCTCCACGTGGCCCTCTCCTGGATTTTCAAGGTCCGAGGGGAATATCCGGACACCGCCGCAACTGCGGTGCTCTTCGCGTTCCAAACCCTATCTCCTTGCTAGAAGTTTCCAGGGAACTCGAACGCTTATACAGAAAAGAAAACTCTCCCCGGATCTCCCGACGGCGTCTCCAGGTCATTTTGGGTTACCCCGACGAACACTCAATGAGGGCCCGAATGGATTTCGGTTCCGCTACCGGGTTCCGGAATAGGAACCGGATTCCCTTTCGCCCGATGGGTGTGTACCTAGCGTTCGAATTGTTGCGTTTGCACATGTGTTTAAGGACACCTCATCGGCATATGATTTCTCATAGGGCTTAGGATCGACTG